TTCAGGAAGGAGAGATGAGTTGCATGGCAGGGTGATAATAGTTGATGATAATGTGCTGTATATTTCAAAACAGCTAGAAGAAGGAATTTTGGGTACCACAAGAAATGATAAATGTTTGAGATGATGGATATGCTAATTAGTCTGATTTGATCACTACACAATGTACAGATACACAATACTGTAAACTCATGTTGTACCCCTATACACATGTGTCATATTATTACATCAATTTAAACACATGTGGGGATTAAATTGGTTTGTGCTGGGTTTACTGTGACTCTCCTTTTTCCTATCTTTCTCTGGTGGGAAGAGGAAGTCATTGGTTTTCAGGGCTCAGAAGTAAAATAAATAAAATTTAGGAATAAAGAGTTCGAGGAAGTCTCCCAAGATTGTATGTAAAAGCAATGAGGTAATTACAGGCTTGCAGCCCTTAAATGCCTTAAATGTGGCTTATTAAATTAAGCCTGCTTTCTAAAGTGCAGGAGATTCTCAGCCTAGGTGTGTCCTATGATGGACTTTTTCCTAGAGCCGTTTCCACCCCCCTGCCCTGGTATCTGATTTTATGTTCTTCAAACTGCCATTAGTTCACTGGAGTGAGTTTAATTCTATTGACAATGTTAATTCTCTGCCTGTAGAAACCAAAGGCCACTCTGGATAAGCTGATTTTTGTTTATTATCTGACAAGACTCAAGATTACTCTAAACCGATTTTGGTGTGTCTCCCTTTACCCTAATCGTATTGGACTTCTACTCTCAGCCTGACTATCAGGGCTGAATGCCTCCTTGTATTATATTTATATCTGACGTAAAAGTCATGCACAATTTAAAATTACCTACAGTAGTTTGCAAAAGGGTGCATGGAATCGTGCGGGTTTAAACTACTAGTAAATTGAAAGGTTGGTGTGAGTGAACCCACGTATACTTCAGTCAAAACTAGTTCCAAGTGCAAGCCAAAAGACCCATTTCTCTTCTACCAGATGATTTATTCGCTTGTGCCAGTGTTACTGATGTTCTGTGACCAGAATCATGTCAGGCAGGGCTCAGCAGGTCTGAATCAATAGGGACTTAGGCTGTCACTGCATCATAATTTTCACTGTTCCTTTCTATAACACTTAGCCATTGGATATCAGGCAAGACCTAAAGAATGAGAATAAACCGAGAGAGAGAGAGAGAGAGAGAGAGAGAGAGAGAGAGAGAGAGAGAGATCCACTTAACAGAATTATATTGGGAAGAAATGGGATTAAGGAAGACATGCATCTCTTTGGAGGGGGTGTGTGTATGCACACACGTGTGTGCTTTGCTAAACGTATCTTTTTATGTTGGATAGTAATAAAACACAGCTACTCGTGAAACAGCCACAGCACATTCCATTTGGGTGGCTTAAAAGAGCTGGCTGTCCTGCTCAAGACAGTCTGAAGTAGAAACAAAGTCAAGATGCCCAATCACATCACAACAAATTAGCCACAGACACGTGACAGCAGTCAACTCAGAGCCTCTCCTGATGCAGGCTGGGAGATTTCCAGGCTCCATGGGCTGCAATGCAACTCTCTACACTGACTTTAGGTTCCAGTATTAAGCAAGTCAATCTTGCCCAAAATATTCCTAATTGGTTGACATTTGTCTTTTATTTCTGGCATCTTTTTTGTCTTTTCTAAACTGGCCCTTCCTCTCCGAAGGTCTTTATGTCAACAGTTTGACTTTCCATCTCCCCAGGAGTTCAATAGAAGGAGACAACAGGTCTCCTAGTAGGGGACCGAAGGACTGATCTCCTAATGGGCCACACATCTAAAGGGAGCTGTCTGAGCAGGAAGCACAGGGTCTCACTGTGAGAGGGCAGGTTTTTAAAACTGCACGAACACTTTTAATAATATTCCCACTCCTCTGGAGACTGGCTTCTCCTCCTTCCACTTCAGAAAACACGTAATGGAACTTTGTGTTTCAATTTAACATCCCCTGCAAAACGGAAATCTTTTCCTGTAGAAAAAAAAACCAAACGGCAATGAGGAAGAGAAAAGTCAAGAGAGAAACAAATCAGGCCTTCTCCACCACACTAGAGAACTGGAGAACTATGACCAAAGCAGGCTCCATAATAGTATAATGATCTTTAATGAGTGTCTTGGGAAACAATACAGCCCCAGCATAAAAGACAAAGGGCAAAACCCATCATGGCTCCGCTGACACTAATTCAAAATGATTTTCAGAACAACTAAAGAATGTAAGAGAAGTAATCTGATCCACCCATCTGACCTCACTTTGATTCCAGGGCCCTTCTCCTGCCATTTCTAATTGTCAGACCCTCTCCATTTCACATCTGCTGATATTTAATGAAAAGACCACTCTCATCACTGCTCTTTGAGTCAACTGGCTTTGTCACATGGGCACCACCAAGCTCTGCCACCAGCAAGAGACACCCAGGGATTGCCATGGAGCTTTGCCAGTGGGCTTCGGCAGAGAGGCTTTTGTTTTTAATTGGAGAAGGCTTTATGTAGTCATGTGAAGGGGCTCAATTGGAATGAATTTTTCTAACTTATTACTGATGGTCAAAGGTGAGTGGTTTCACACAGGGATGGGTGAAATTCGCTTTTGTTTGATGAAGTGATGATGGTGGGTGGGGGAAGGGTAGTGAAATTGAGACAGGCAACAGCCCTTAAGCCGTCAATACTAGTTAAGGCTTCAACACCTAGCTCTAAATGCCACATTTCCCATGGAGGGGGTGACATTAAAAGCACAGGAAAGGCAACAAAATCACGCACCGAATGTTTTTAAGCGTTTGGGACAATCCCATCCCAAGTTGTCTTTCTTCTGGCCTTCAACAATGTGTGGATTAAATTGCAAGGTTGAAAAACCCCTCTAAATTATGGTTTCTCTTGGATAAAATAAAAATTACTTCTACTGGGCATCATGGACCTTGAACAGGGACAAGATCTGTTGTGAGTAGTATGGTTGGCCAGAGCCAAGACACAACCACAGAGCCTTCGCTCAGAACCATGCTGGTGCCTTCCTTCACCCACTGAATCTGCAGCCAAAGTTTGTGAACCTAGTGGTAACTGGAAGTTGTGCCTTAGGCAGAAGTGACTGGCAACTACACCCACCACCACCACTCACTGAGATGTGGCCTGAGGCCTGCCCCCACACCCCACTGCTTCCCCAGCTCCTCTCTTTGAACCTGGTGCCCCTCCCACATGTCATAGAAAAACAAGTTTTTGTGCAGCTGTGACCTACATCACCTAGATCATGGCATATGTTCTAGATAAAAAATTTTTTTCAGGAAAAATAAAGGAGGACTCAGACTACAGCTTATGTAAGAAGAATCTTAAAGGAAACTTCCCTTTCAATTCTAGGCTTTCACATTTTAGGCCAATGTGGCATCTGTATCCTCACTCAATGCAACCTCCAGTAAGTATCACTTTTAAATCAGTCTTGTTCCTTGTGTTATTCTGGAGGAGCAGTGAATCGTGAATCAGAGAGGATGATTTTCTAGTCATAGATCAAACTTTCCCAAATGCCTCCAATGCAGCGTGATGGTACATCTGTGATCTCAGATCCAAACTACAGGTTCAAACATCAATGTCAGGTATGGCTCACCATTCTGGGTATACAGTGGTGTTAGGGCTCCCTCACCCTGGAAGTGCACATTGAAGACCATCACAGGAGTGCACTGTGCTGGGACCACCTTCAGCTCTGGATAGCACAGGTGAGACCTGTTGATTTTTCATGAAAATAGATGCTCAAGAGCTCAGAGCTCTTCCTCTTCATTGTGGTGGCTGTGAACCAACTCCTGCTGCTGAAAAGTCAACAAGCTCTGGATACATGGGAGGGAAGACGATGCAATACAGTCACAAATAAATGTGCTGTCCCCTTAAGGAGGAAGGGAAGGGGTAACATGAAGAAAGAAGAATTGTCTCCTACTTCCTGTACTACCCAAAATGTGAAATCAAGGTCACGGTCATATTCTAAGGGCATCCAAGTCCTTGAGCAGAACACAACCTTTTCTGGAAGAGGGTGAGGATGCACACCTCAGCATGTCAAACAGGAGCTTTCAGTAATGTCACCTAAGAAACCAAATCCTTGTGTGTTGAGAAATAGCAAAGTCTGGGGTGAAGACAGGGCTGAGTGTGGTCCAAGGAATTTGGCTCCTCTTAGCCTCAGTTACCGTCTGTGTAACTGATGTATTCCTTAACATCTCCAAGCTCAGGAGCAACAAAGACCTGAGATATAGACTCAAAACAACATGGCTCATATTTTCTTAAAATTTTTGGTCATGATTACTACAAGATAACCTTAGTTAAATGGGGATCTATTGTTGGAAAAATAAAAGAAGAATGATCTTTCAAATTAGTCATCTTTCTGAGGCAAGTTCTAGACTGCACCAGCCTATGGAAGCCGGCAGATTTAAAATTCTCTTCTCCAGAAAATCGGACAAAATCTGTCAATGGAAGAATGAGTTTCAGGTTAGAGAGGCACAGAAAAAAGTATAAAGAGGTATTATTTTACACATACACATCTTCATCTAAACTCCGTTAATTTTGGTACTTAAACTCACTAAAAGCAATTTAATGTTTTTCTCTCTATACTTTTTCTCTCTGTGCCCTCTTCCCTTCCAATTTTTGATCCAACTCAAATTATAGCCATTTCCAAAATATTGAGATATACATTTTCATGTATCTCAGCATTAATATAGCATTTGGTATGCTGTTACTTTAATTTCCATTTCCATTTGTTTAAGTGAGACAGAAAGAAAGAAAAATCAGCAGACTGGTATGTTCTAGTCTTGCACACTATTTCAAGAAGCACAGAAAGCAAATGAAATCCGAAGGGAGGCCCTCCCCAGCACATACACAGAGATACAGGCAGCTGGGGCACCACATCACCACAGAAGAGATAACACTGGGGAGGAAACACCAGCCAGATGGACCCACAGACCACAGAGCACAACACAAGACAGGGAGGCTCCCACATCAAGCACAGACACGGAACGGCACATGTTGAGGTTAAACTTACAGGCAGGGAAACTGGTGGAGCAATCATTAACAGAGACAGAAGAAAGTGGGAAGGCTCTCTCAAGGGTGTCCACGTTACCACGCATACGGCCTGACATGCACGAGCAGTCACGCTCAGAACGTCCGCAATCAAAACAACATGCCCGTCTCATTCTCTTGTAGATGGACATCTTGGCTATAACCATGAGGTTGGATGGGAGGAGAGGAAGAGCAGCAGTTAATGGCAAGGTCACACACAGCAAAGCTGGAAGGGAGCTGGAGGGATTCAACACAGGTCTTAGTTCACGTTAACAGTCTTGACCCAGGGGGAAAAATGCAGAGTGATTGTTGGTAACAGTTTGGTTGTACATCAAGTAAAAAAAGAAAAGCAATGAGAATACAAATTGCCTGTATCATTTCCCAAGGCTGCTGCATTGTTCTCCCCCCGACCCGATCCGCAGAGTGGTGACGCAGGAAAAGGGCATGGCTGAACACAGTCAGGTTCTTGGATGGGAAGAAGAACAAATTATAAACAGTTTCAAAAAATAAAAAAGTAACCAACCTTTTCCCCCTGGCACAGTTAACACAGGGAGGGTAAAAGAGAAACAGAGCCAATCAATTCAATTAATTGCTTGTTTGGTGTAATGAATGATTTTTGCAAGAGGCGACCATATGTAATATGTAGTTTTCTAATTTCCACCCACTTCTGGGCATTAGGCAGAGCCTGGGACATGCTTCCGTCAAATTAGATGTGAAACGCTTACGTGTTAATATAGAATCTGTGGATGCCTTGGCTGAACTTCCCAGGAGTGAGTTTACATGATAGCTACAGGAATTTAAATTTACTCTTGACAGAACAAATATCCAAATCTGTCCGTATAAGAAATGTAGCTACTCAAGGCTAACGCTGAGTATTTGACATTAAAGGAAGTTTGCAAATAAGAAATCACCAAAAGCGTATGAGATGTTGGTCTATTGGAATGCATTTGGCCACTCGTGGGTATATTTTCTGCTTAAAGCTGAATCTGAAAATGGCATCTATCGTACTCTCTCCACCTACCAGGAATTCAGAAAGCAATCAGACTATTGGTTAATCAGACCTCTTTTTTCCTTATACAGAAAATATTGGCTAAAATAGATTAAGAACGACAAAATGTGAAATAAGAAAATAGGTCCGTTGTGAAATATCTTACTGAGAGTTGCATGCCCCGGGGGCAGCTCTTCGAACCCTAGTGCGGTAGGTTCTGTACTATGTGGAGACTCACCCCAAATGCTGACCTACAAAGCCTTCAAACCAATTTATATTTCAGTACAATAAGAATTGTTTTGGACCTCATTTGGATGATACAACAAGAAAACATGTTTGTCTATCATTGGTCAGCTTCTCTCATGGGGGGGAGAAGAATTCATATTTATTCCAAGTATCACAGTTCAACAATGAATTTGAACCAAAGGAGTACTATCCCCTGCATCCACAGCTTCCATTTGGAAAATCATCCTTCCCTCTTTTTCTTTGTAGAGAATGGTTACCCTCTTATTTTAAAATATGACTTGTGTTTTTGCCCTCTTTGAATGTTACAGTCACCAGGAAAGGGGTTGAAATCTCTCAAATGGGTCAAGTCCTGTTCTAAGACCTTTATGACTTGCCATATAGTATATTTGTCAAACAAGGGGAACGTTATGATTGTGAAGAACAGGCACTGGGGGAGATGAATGAGAGATCTCTTCAGCAGCATTGCCATCCCTGTAAACTTGGCTCACAGTTCCAGTGACATGTTCTTTTAGCAGCATGGCTAGTCTGTTGTTCAGATGATCATGCAGCCCCAGCCCTGTTCAGTGCACAGTATATCATTCCCTTGAGCTTAGCATTTAAAAAAAAAAAGTTCCACTATAGCATTTGAGTCAAAGAAATTTAAAAGGCAATGGCATGATTGCCCATATGTCCCCACAAAACAGCGCTGGCTGAAGTCAAGAAAGGGGGTGGGGAGTCTTCAGCTGAAGACATGAAAAGAAATTCATTTGAAATGCATCCGGATCTGGTATATGACTTGGAGATCCAATGTCTTGCTTTTTCTTTCTTAGTTCTTTCAATGGAAATATGGATTTGTTATTTACCCAGAAGAGAAAAACCGAGGATGGTTTTGGTTGTTGGTTCACTGTAGATAAATTGTTATGAAAAGAAAATTTTAATCAAATGCTGTAGTAGAAGAGAAGCCCCTCAAACTCAGAAACACTTTGCTTCTCATTAGCAACAGTCCCTGGTTTTCATTTCCAGATTTCCACTTTGGGTTCATGTACAATAATAGAGGCTGACACATTTATGGGGATAGAAAGTATATATATATATATATATATATATATATATATATATGCCATTTTTAAGAACAAGGGATGAGATAATGGAGATGGAGTAACTTTAGAAACTATTTTGTCAGAGGTAACCCCTCATAATGGGTGATTTAAACCTCCTACTTCATAACAGCTCAGGAGGTATAATAACATCAAACCAGTGGCTCTCAGGGACTGTTTGCAATTGTCATTGTCAGTTGTTCTGAAGACCATGCACTGTTGTAAAATTTCATATTGTTAGCATGCAGGAACGGGCTGAAACTGGTAATCAAAGCAGCAAAAAACTATTTGCTATAAGAAGATTAACTGTTAATTATAATCAGTCTCATTCCAAAGCAGCATATGCATAAAAGAGAAAACATGCTATTACACGTCATTTCTTCCCAGTTGTTTTTTTTAACACTCACACCAAATGCAAAATAGAAATCTCAAAAAACAAACAAGCACCACCACAAAAAAATAAAACCCAGCAAGAAGGATTAACAAGAGGCTCAAAGACAAGACAGAAACGGTTAAAAATGATTGAACCCCACATGTTGACAAACCTTCAGGAATCACAATGTCTCTAGACCCAGGGCCACCAACTGAGAGAGTGGCTCCTTTTCTCTACTTCTGGAATAGTCCATTTTCATTGAGCTCCTGCCATGTGTCTTCACCTGTATAGACTGGATCCACTTTCTTACAAGGTAGGGCTCATTCTGACCTTGCATTTTGTGAAGCAATCTGGTAAGCTCAAAAGGCTGTATGTACCAGCCAGGAAGAGATTTCCTCCAGGCTGTTGTTCATATTAGGAACAAGCTTTTTAACTAAAACTGATGAGGATCTGTCTTACTGATAGTGGATGTTTCAGAAGATATGGACTCTCCTTATACAACGTTACACTCCCAGGTTGTAAAATAAATGTATATCAATATCACAGCGTAGCTGTCCTAATTTGAAAATTACCTCCCCATCATTTTTCTCAACTGTTTCTGTTTTGCAGAAACAGTTTTGGTTTTGCAGTTGTCAATCGTATTAAGAACCAACAGTATTTTATTTTCATCTATCAGTGATTGTTCCCTATTCTAGAGCCAATTTGGGCTAGCAGGTTACTTTCAAATATCAAAAAGCCATAGATTCACAGCCTAAAATTCAAAGAGGAGTTTGGAAATATACATTTAAAACAGAAGTCAAGTTTCTTATCTACTTCCTGGCTGCACAAAGTTGCTTCCCTCCTTTGGTGTGTGTTGAGATTCTTTCTCAGCCTTGCTCTCTTCCCGAATCCCATCCTGAGGCAGTTTTCCCAGGGAGCTCAATGGCAATCCAAGTGGAACTATGAGGACATCTAGTGGATCGGTGTGGAAGAGCAGCTGGTTAACAGAGAAGTTAACCTGGACTTCGCTCTCCTTTCTTTGAAAGGAGCAGGAAAGAAAGAGGGCCCTGCTGTCTCTAAGAATTGAAATGTTTTCTGTGTCATTTCAATTCAGTGGCTGCTCTGATCCACGCCAGATGCTCAAGGGCAATGGAGACAAAGGGATAAGCGGTCTGGGAGATGATCCTAGGATGCTCAAAAGGGACAACTTGCAAGCACGTTCACTGGCTCTCTAGCTCAGCGGACTGGGACCCCACAAGGCCCTGCTGCAGCTTCCTGAGAAAGGGTTCGACAAGAGTGTGTCTCTGGCAGGTGTAAATACTGAAGCTACTTGTCATTCCATCTTAGGGCTCTTGAAACTTTATGCTCAAAATTAATTGGTCCCCTAGGCCAACTTAACTCAGGGAAAGCAGAAATATAAGCCTCCAGAGACTCCGTTTTCTCTTCGGTCCACATCATAAGGCTCTTGTTTTTGGACCTGTGCCATAGATTCAAAAATGTTATGTGGTTGCCAAGAATTAGATCCTGGGTCTCACCTTCCTCCAAAGAACTCTGTTAGAGCAGATTCATAAATTGAGAGACAGATTTTATATGCTTTTCTTCATCCCAATAAAGTGGATAGTCACCCTCTATTTTCAATATGACTTCCTAGTAGTATTTATAGAGACAAAATAGAAACATTCTCCTAATGGACAGCATCAAAGCTGTGTGTTTACTCTTGAGTTTTTAAAATGGAAAAATTTCTCAGACATGGGCTTGGACAACTTTTCTTCTTTTCAAAGGTCATAATCATGAAAATCAAAGCATGCTGCAGATGTAGCCGAGTTAACTGCTGTTTGCCTGAGACAGACCAACAATGGGCTGTCAAACCAGGATTCTCTGCTAGTTACCCCTTCCAAGCCATGCCTGGAATGGAAGGGAGAGTTGGATTGCCTCCTGTCCTCAGCACCATCTGCCTCCTGCTTCAGCAACCAAATTGCCAGCCAATTTGCAATTGCAGGATCTGAATTTCCAGGGTGGATTGGAAGGGGATTGGAAAAGCATCCCTGGACAGAGAGGCTCAGGTGGAGTTTTTCAACTGCTGGGAAGGTGTGATACTTTAGGTTTCAAATGGAGCAGATTCAAAGGAAGACTGGTGTGAAAGAAAAACTAATCTGCCATTCAACGAATAGATATTTTTTCAGACCCTAAGCTCATTTTTAAAATCAGTCCAATTAAGGCAGTGGTATTTCCAAGCATGAATCCTTCAAGTGCTTGGCAGCACTTAAAATTATAAACAAAAGTATCCATGGAAGAAAAGTCCACAGAGGCTTTAAGTTTGAGGTGTACTGTTTGTCGTGGCACTGGGCATCACAGAACATTCTTTCAGGGGTTATCATTGAGGAATGATGTCTTCACTTACCAAAATTCCTCTCATTACCTTCTGGAGGAATTGGAAAGGTCCTCCAAGTGGTTTTCCAAGAATGGAGAGAGTGAAAAGACAAAGCTAGTACATGTCATCAGCACAGAGCATATTGTAGTCATACTGTAGCTGGAAAAGGTAGGAGAGTTTGGCACTACAGTTATTCATTGACTGACATCACATTTTCTTCCAATTCCAAGAGTGCTAGACAGAGGATGGAAGGTCTCTATGCATGAAAGTATCTCATGTCCTCAACATCCTGAAAAGCAATCTACAGGTGAAGGAGGCCACAGACTCAATATTGGCAGAATCATGCATTGAATTGAAGAAGGCGATTGCTTAGGTGATCATCATGGTACATTAGTTTGTTGAATGAACCCAGCTCCACTACACTGAGCTACAGCCCTATCCTTATTCATTTTTCACAAGGATCGTTTCGTTGGCTCCAAACACTAAAGACTAGCCAAAAATCAGATGATCAACTTGCTTCTTCTGCTTCAAAAAAATCTGAGGCCGCTGAGTACCGAACCATCTCCTTTTGATTTCGGTGGGATCCTCATGTTTACGAATACAGCAGCAATGTTGGTGGCTTATGCCCTGAGCGCCAGCGCCACACTGCTGTAAGTCAAACACGGAAATACTGGCCTTACGAGTTCCTCCCCGAGGGCTCCTGCTGCTTGATGAAGGGGTTTCTATGCTTTAAGGGAGTCAGAGGCCCCGACTTGTTCAGACTCCTACACAGCTCATCAGTGAGATGAAGCTTTCTCCTTAGCCATCTTTTCTTCCTCAAACAAGGAAATGGGTCTTCCGAGTTGTCTGACTACACTCGTAGATGAATTGGGGAAGTTTTATTTTAAAACAAAGGAACTTCATAGACTTCATAGGAAATAATTACCACTGTGGAAATATTTGTGGGCAGTAAGGCAGTTTGGATGCCTATAGCCCCAAAGGTGGTATGCAATGGATTCTCTAGCACGCACCTTCTTGTATAGAAAGGCACATATACTATAATAAGTACATCCTTTTTCTATGGGTTGTCTCTATGCTTATATAGAAAAAACATAATTTTTACATATAAAGTACTGCTGCATGTGATATCATATGCAGCAATATATATATACATATATATGTGTGTATATATATAATGACTACATATGTACCCTGCGTGTTCCCTTTGGGGTAGGAATTTAAGCTCTATAGCAGACGAATAATTTATCAAAGGCAAGCATGACAATGATCCCCAATGGATAAGACATCTAGAGTTATAGTGGTAATTACCCCAGCCTAATCAGTGTCCCTTAAAAGTCCTGAGATAAGGCCTTCAAGAGAAACACACTTTTGTCAAGGTCTTATTTTCAAATGGAAAAATAAGACAAGGGTCAGAAGCTGGCTGGAGGCTGGGTGTGGGGAGATGCGCGGAGAATGAGCTTCAGTCCTCTCCAGGTCCAGGCTACTCTGCAGACTGTGTCGGGCATGAGCGAGTTGGGGCATGATTGTCACTGCTACATGCAACATGAATACCAAAAGGAAAATAAACAACTGTACAGAAAATAAAAGAAGTATCTCATCTAGAGAAAGACAGGGGAACTAGACTCTGGGCTGTTGGAACCCGTTTTACTCACAATAGATCACTACCAGTGTGCAGTTAAAATAGAGTAGGGGCCGTATTCCAAGGCAGCAAAGAGAAAAAAAATAAATCAAAGATATGTCAATGATTAGAAGTCAAAGGAAATTTCTTCAAACACATCAATCTAGACATGACTTGTCCCTTAGGAGTCCACCCCTTGGCAAACTTTCAGAGGCTGGGAGGGAAAATGTAAATCATTAGATCAGCTTTGTTACACAGAAAAAGGAAATGGATAAATGGTGGACTCTGAGAGCTTGAGACTCTGAGGCCAGACAGCTGAACTGAACTCGCTTCCTTGATGGAGTGCTATGAAGAAATGGAAAGAAATGCAAAAGTTAAACTGTACTACCACAGAATTTCCAGACATGGAATGTTCACACTCCACATTTCTCTGGAGAATACGACACCAGATGTTGAAAGTTAATGAATGAAAGGGAATGGGGAGGAAAGGGCAGGGTTGAAAAGGGAAGGGTTAGGAATCTGTAGATAAAGCCCAGGACTATCATGAGTTCTGCGCTTATGGAAATATACCATCCGAGGGTGAACTATCAATACCTGGACTAGGTATTAGCCAAAAGCCTAAGAGGGTCAACCAGCTTCTGTAACTTGGACAGGAAACCAGGCAATCATGGGAACAATCCCGGCTTTATCTAAGGAAAGCTTTGTAACCAAAACGTATCTTCTCCCATTTCCTCCTTCACGTTGCCTGTATGGGGAAGTTTATGCTCAATATTTGATTCTACTCTGCCTGCCCCAGTACCCTGCATACCTGCATCCTACCCTCTGGGTTATGGCTTTTTAATTAGGAAGCATGACATCTGCACAGTTCTAATTGTTATCAGACACTAACCTCACAGCTGAGGGCTTTGTCACAGTGGAGTGACCTGGTCAAAGCCGTCCTTTTGCAGCAGCTCAGCTGGGCATGATGGAAAATCAAATACTTCACTGGCTCAACCAATTTTAAGGACAATGAAGAGAATAAAAATTATTTTAAAGAATGATGTGTCTCTTCTTTTGGGGTGAAGCTAAAGATCACTGGTGTTTGTTTGTCCAGAATCCAGATGGGAAATATACCCAGAAGGACAAAATCTTGCTTATAAGGGCTTTAAAAATAGTCCAATGGGATCCACTATGGTGTCTCACGAGGGACATCCTAGTTTAAAGTGAGACTGAGAGATACCGCTCTCCGTTCTTGAGTCCGTTCTCTATGCAAATACCAAGGAGAATGGATGATGTCATTTCCCTGGCTTCCTATGTAGCACCAAACATTAGCTTCTTAGCACCACCCTCTTTGATCTCATCGCATGTCACTCTTTGATGTCATCAACCCCTCTTGCCCTTTCTCCAAGGACTAACTGAATCCTGTCTTTGGTTTTTCTTTTGCTCTTCTCCCTACTTACATTGGGTCCTGCCTTCAGCATCACTCTCCAGTGGAGCCCTTCCTGCTCTCCCAAGCTTCGCTTCTCTGAATGTTTTCTATTGTTTACAAAATGGCATTTAGCTTCATTCACTAGAATGTCACTCGCCTCTCCACCCCTGGTACCATGAATGGCACCTTGCAAAGAAAGGGCCCTCCAAAACTACATGAATTAGTAAACTCCTTGTGCCAGTTTATTGATGTCCCAATGGGAAAGAGGCGCTCTGGCAAATATCCTTTCATTGATTGCTGGCCTCAATACTCCTATCTTTCAACGTCGTCACTATAAGAGCTTCCTTCTGAAAACCTTCACTCTCTTGTATCTGTTACTCCCTCGCTTACTGCTTACCTTTACCATCTGGATGTCCTGTTCCTTGTAATGGAAATGACCTGGAGGTACATGGTCCACAGCCAACTGAGCAAGGCTGGGTTGAGGGTATTGTGAGCTGAAGGGTTTGCATAGATGAACTGTGGAATGAGTTGCCAGAATTGGGGGATTTCAAGATCCTAGGAAGCCAGGTTCTTGTTCTAAGACACTTAATACTCATTTTGAAAAGGTGACAGAGTTAGGGAAGGGACCATGTATGTTAAATCCATGGAGAAGGAGAGGGCAAAACAGAAAGCCCAGGTGGGTGTGGGGACCAGCCAGAGAGATTTCTACAGAAACTTCTTTAGTTTCTCACGGGTACTTGCCCAAGAGACTGAGTAACCTCTTCAGGCTCTGGCAGTGCTATCTTTATAGCTTACTGGTTTTGCACATGCCCCATTAGCATGCAGTGACAGAGGTCCTTGCTTTAGCTGGCATATGTTGGCAGTGGTGTTCTGTCTCGTTTCTCCCTGTGAACAGCATTTTATGGGCAGTTTTTCATAACTGTGTTCCTACTCATCAGACCCAAACTCACCCACTTTTCCCTTCCCTCCTGCAAAAAGATGAGGGCTCTCAGGGATCTTTGGGAACCTGAACTCCCGGATGTGGACTGTGTGACCCTTGGCCATCTCATCTTCTCACTAACTTGGAAATTTCATAGTCTCTTTTTGGAAAATAGAATTCATGCTACCTCCTGCCAGTTACCAGGGTTATGATGAAGGTCAAATCCACCATCACAAGGAACTTCTGAAACATCAAATAATCATAAAAAAGAAGGAGTCACTATTTTTGTTTAATCTGCAGTCAAGAACCATCTCTATGAGGCATAATCTCTGCAAAAGGTATGGCTTTCCCAAGACAAAGACCACCTTAAGTCCTGGTGCCAGCGTTCCTGATGCTCCACTGAGGCCAATGGGCATGATGGTTTAAAAGAGGCTTGAGCGTGAACATTCAAGAAATTAATGAACTCAATCCAATCCACCCTAGAGAGAAATGTGCCTGAGGTTGGTCTTTGGGGCAATCATGGCTGAAGTCCTTGGCAAGGGCCATGTTCTTTTCTTGGAGTGGTCTGAGGGGGTCACAATTAAAAATTCTAACTTTTGGTACTAAAGGTTATGGGAATCCCAGATGAAAAGAGGTTCAATGCCATTTTGGAGACTGGGTCCCCAGATTCAGTTTTCCTCTTAGCCCTATCACAACCACCTTCATACTTAGTGACCTGTCCACTGGAAATGGAAATCACTATAAAAAATCATTCCCTCCTCTAGGGCATTAGATGTCCTTTTTTTTTTTTTTTTTTTTTTTTTTTTTGGTACATTGTGCCTGGTTATATCAGACTGCACACATGAAGAAGGAGATCAGGTCCCAGGTTTTCTCTTAGGTGCTGATGGTGATGATTTTCCACCCTCTGCTCTAACAAAGACAGAGTGATATTTATTTTATGTCTCTGCAAACTGCTGGATGAAACATAAACATATTCAAGAAAGCTCTTGTTGTTTAATGTTTCTCTAATAGGAAGAGGGGAAGGAAAAGGAATCTGGGGATTAAGAAGGAGAGTGGGAAGGGAGGGGGGAAAGAAACACTACTTACGCCGTTTGCAGCCACATTTTTTAATTCTCTTGGGATCTGTGATGTCATCATGACAGGCTTTGCAGTAAAAATATGCCCTGGAGAAAGAGAATGGAAAAACTGACACGTTTCATAATCCACCCATATGAAATGAGTACCACATTTCCTCCGCAGTGGTGCCAAATTAATGAAACATGCCAGCACTAATTTCCTTTCATCTTCTGAAAAGTTTAGACGTTTGCAGACGGAAATGTTTGTTGCAAGACCATTTATTTCAAACACAAGATTGTGTGATTTGGTTAGTGCTTCTTTTCATAAACTCTCATTTGGAAAAAAAAAAAAAAAAAACAGGGAGAAAGGTTGCCAGTGTGACATACTGAGTCTGCTCACTGGTCTTTGTTGCTGAGAACAGTGCTGGGTGCCTGTGTCTGGGACCACAGAGACTTAGCCCTGAGCTTTTGGGAAGAGAAAGGCAGTTATAACTCTAAAAGCCCAACAACCTAGTGAAATAAATATTTTTAAAATGGGATAGTTCTCAGTCAAGTGCAAATATTAACCTGTGCCTTGGAGGCACCTCTCCTTGTTAGCCAAAGTGAGAGCAGCTGAGGAGGAGAGTGGAGAGGGATCATTAAAGCAATGAGCCCATGGTCCCTCTGTCGGACCTTCTCTAGGACTAGCAAGACCTGGGGCCATGATCTCCAGCCCTGAGAACATGTACGGCTTGCTTCTCACGGCAGAGCATGACCGTCGGAATGGGATAGGCAGAGAGATGGGGTGAGTAGAAGAGCCCCAGAAGAAACAATCAACAAGAAAATCCCCCTAAAATAACTCAGTTTCAACTGGGATGACAGAACACATGGGCCGTGTCAAAGAAACTTGGGATGAGACAAAATAAGATCATTGAGGCAGTGCTGAAAATCTCAGTGATGGTATCCATTTAGGATCCTGCAAAAGCATACCCATAGGAACAATTCCTTGTTTACTTCTAGTACAACATTCATAAAGTATTTGAGATATTCAACTCTAAAAAAAATAAATAAATAGGATTTGTGTGAAATGATCTTGTCCAAATATAAACTGACGTAAGTGTTGTGAGCACAGGTAAGATAGCCTAGGCTCACCAACTATGTTCAGTAAGTTACGGTGTTCAATGTAAGGTTGAGTTACAATATTTCCAATTTATATGAGTTTACTGGGATGCAACCCCATCATACTTAAAGACGGATCTCTACTGGTGGGCAATAAAATTCATTGTGATAACCTTACAACCTTTTAGATCCAGAAACAAACAAAATCTCTGACTTAGTGCCTCTAGTATTTCCAACACTTCACATGCCAGAGATAAACATGGACTTTCCTTGATTTGGGCTACAGAAATCAACACTTGATCACTTGCTTGATCCTAGTTCCATTTTATGCCTTTCACAAGCATCGCATTTATGACTGACATGGGTTGGGAGCCAATGTTAATGTTCTTGAGTCTGAAAGAGATTGTGGAGATCTTGTAGCCAACTCTCTGGGACTCAATGTCCCTATCTATAAATTAAGGAGGTTGTCAGGTTCTATCTAAGGTCATCCCCTTGATGGAGGTTGGCTGGTCCCGGGCCTTTTATATCCAGATCTGGTGTTCTTTCTACCTGAGTAGCCCTTCTCCCATTTCTTTAAATGTCAGCTCCAATCAGGGACTCAGTTGTGTTCATTCTTTCATCATAAATTTTAAAAACCTGTAATTCTCTCTTCCCTAGAACCTGAGCCTCGGGAGAGCAAGGATTTCTCTCTATTGTTTTCCTGACACTGGGTATACAGCCTACTAAACATTAACTGATTTTTGATGAATGGATGAGAGAATATGAAAATGCTTCCCAGTATTGGGTCTGCCAATTTTTGAGGAGAAACCAGTAATAAGGCTTTTTATATAAAAGCAGATGACTCATTGTAACTTGACAACCAATTTATTTTTTTAAATTGTGATTTCAAAAGAGAATCATATCTGCAAATCAAATAGAGCCAATAAAGCCATTAGACTATGCTCCAAGGTTATTTTAGAAGAAAATATTTAGTGCCAAAATTAAAGGATGAGTGCCCAAATTCCCATCCCAAAATGACCTTTTGAAGACTAAAAGTGGATGGTTTCACTTCTCTAAAGGCCTGGCATCTGAAAGTTTCTATGAGCTACAACTCTTTTGTTCTTTTCTTTCTTTCTTTCTTTTTTTATTTTATTTTATTTTATTTTATTTTTGGCATTGGAGGGTGTAAACTAAATACTAGATCATCATCCTCTACTTTTCCATTTCTACAAAACTTGTTTCCCTTCATTCAAATCTCATATGTCCTTTCTGTGGTTTTCTGTAGTCTTCACCTATCTGAAATCCCCTAACTGACAGCATTTGCTCTGACACATCACACACCACTGAAAATTACAGGCTGGTGTTGTAGCTGATTGTGTCAGCATGTATTTGTGAATACCACAAAGCACTGAAATGAGACAGACTGCACTCCCTAATATCAGAGGTAATTTGTTTTCTGGACTGCCTGGTATTTTTGACATTCATTAGTGAGCAGTGCAACAGGAAATGGAATTACACAAATGGGAGCCTCATGTGGGGGCTGCTATCTGGGAGGTGCATGCCCTGCATGGGGCCACTGAGCTCCCAGCCTCTCGGGCCTGATGTGAGATGCTGCTTCCAACTTTCCTGTCCCACATCTGGACCAGGAGACAGCATTTTTTCCAGATGACCCAGGGAATGGGTCAGTCCCATTCACCTCCCTTTCCCTTCTTACATAAACTTCATTTTTCAAATACTGCTGAACAACAGCAAGATGCCCTCAACAGGAAAGGGAACTATTTCTTCCTCACAACAGAATAATGCTATTCCTTCCCCAATTTGCAGAATTAAATGTAAGTTATTTAAAGAAATGTTATGCACCTCCACCCTATATGATCTTTTTCTTGTAACTAGTATGGCTTCTTTGCTACAGTTCATGAGAAGCCAGAAACACACACTATTGAGTATCATCGTTCTATACGCAGTATGTCAAGCTCAACCCTGGGCATAGATTTGAAAAAGTGCAGCCTCTGGAGCCTGACCACTTGAATTTCAGTTTTGGCTTTGTTTCTATCACTGTGACTTTGGGCAAGCAATCTGTGCCTCAGTGTCCTCATATGTAAGTAGAAAAGCCTAAAGCTACCTCTTTCATAGGTTTGAGTCAGTTCCTAAATACAGAGAAGCTAGTTAGTACCCAATAGAGTGCCAGCAAAAAGGAAACCTTCTAAAAAGCTGTTAACATTATCACATTTGGTAGAGAGAGATGGGGATTTAGAAAAGGAAAGACAAGCTCCAATCTAGGATCCACCACTTGTTTAACTGCCCCATGGTCTTGAACACTCAAAGTTCTGAGTGTTTCGCAAGATTTTATTTTCCAGGGCTATCTTGAGGAGTAGCAATACAGACTGCAGCATACCTCACACAAGGCTAGATTTGAGTAGGAACCATTCATTGAAGACAATAAGCCTCCACAAACAACTATAAAACTTTGCAAATAATAATTTACTTAACTAGTTCATGTAAAATCATTGTGGACCCAGGTGACCTGTTGGGCCATTGATATCATATTTTCTACTAGTAAATTTTTCCAAGTTGCTAGAATAGAATCAAACACAGTGATGTTTCATGCTGTTGTGCAAAAGCCCTCTAATTCCCTAAGTTTCTTAAATGGGTAGAAAGATACTAAGAAAAATGTCAAGAAATACTGGGACCAGGAATTCTACAGAGACTTCATAATGAAGCTGAGGATTTCACTCACTTACCCAGAAGGTCACACATAAAATGTGGCAAATTTAATATTCATCTGAAATTAAGCCAAACCATTGGAAATTTCCTTGGGCAGTTAGAATTGAAAACTGATCATTGTCAAGGATGTTTGTCCAGATAATTTTGAGACCTGTAGGCAAGCAGTGCCCTGTTATATTGGTCTGGATCAGAAAGAGTAAGGATGGGCTCAAACAGTTACTGCAGCTCTCTGGGCCCCAGTCACCTCCCTTGTAAGATAAAGAAGGTTATAAGGCTTTGTCATGGCAAACTTTTATTATTCTGATTCAAATGTAAGGAACTATGTGATAAGGAGTCTGTGGAAGCATTTAAAAGCAGTCTCTTCTTCCTAAACCTTTGCACCATTTGATGCCCATAGATAAGGTAAGAAGTTGTAGGGTTAGAGCCCTGGACATCTGGAAGATGCCCATGCAATAGATTCCTATCTCTATGGCTGGGCCAGAAAAAAAGGCAGATGAAAACAAACTCTTACCTTTTAACTTCTTTGGCATCACTTGCGATGAAAAATCCTAAAGTACCTTCTTGGATCTTAAGATGGTTTCCAGGATTAATTAATATACTGCTCAGTGAACAAAAAACAAAGAAGACACATGGGTGAGGTCGTGCTCTGAATAAAATTTTGAAGGCAAAACACCATACAGTTGTTTTTATAGGGGCCCCACTAGTCTAATGCTTTCCTCAAAGATTCCTTCTAAAGCTCAGTATTCTCTGGCCCACACATTTAGTTGGATAATGCCACCATTAACCTCCACTGGTTAATTCACATGTTGGTACACTCTCAGTTAAGGAAATGAAAATAAATCTTAGTTTTAGGGGCTGATTTACTTAATAGGGCCATGCAGCTGCCATCATGGGCATCTGCCTTGGTATAAACTTCCTCATAATGTATCTCTTTTGCGATTTGAGCAACTAGTGATGGTTAACATTGAAACATTATTGGTCTAATGAAGCTCTTGCTATACCAATTTTCTATTAGGATGACAGAGCATTAATGGGACCCCTATATGTATTCAGAGACAAACACACACACATTCATACATATACATATATATACATACATACCACATTATTACTGTGGGGAATGGTACAAGATACCCATGCAGAAGCAAACTGAACATGTTTGTAACATCAAAAAGAGCATGGAAGTAGATTCCATGTATAGTCCACAGGGGAGGAACTGGATCTACCCAAACAGTGGGAAAGAAAGTAGTTGGATATGCTTAATGGTTCTGCTGTTTATAAAAATGTAAAGGGGTTTGAATAGTATGCATGTCCTAAGTGAGGCACACTGTACTTAGTAAACAAAAATTACACCCCCCCAAAAGTCTTCCCTACAGGGAACTATGAACCTAAATATACACTGACCTATTTAAAAGTGGTATAAATAGATTAGTTGACCAAGTTGTGTTTGGACTGACAGTAAAGATAAATGTATCCTAATTTAATTAATTGGTGAAACAAACAAGTTTAATTTCTACAGATCAAAAGCAGAATACAGGAATGTCTTAGCCAGAGACTGAGAGGAAGCTTTGGACTTGATAGGTCCTGAATTTAGGCATTCTGAGTGAAGCAATCGACAACAAAAGTATTCTTTGATCTGAAGAGCTGCTGACTAAGGTAATGGATATTTGGAATCAGTCTAAAGGAAGTCCTCAGCTGCCCCAAACAATCACAGTGGAGGGGGGTAATTAACATGTAATCTTTTTATGCTGCTAAGTCCATTCCAGAAAAGTGTTGTGGCCAATACAGTAAGGCGTCGGCAGCAGCAACGCAGGAAGGACCCAGGTGAACTTTTGTTCTGTTGAAGAACTCTGAGCAGATCATTACCGCAAAAATAATTGTCTGTGGTTACCAGAACACCCACCATTACCTGTAACAAGACCTCACAGAAGAAAAGCACTAACAGCAAGAGTCTGTGAAGATCTGAGTGTTCTGCCCAGAACTACAGGTCACAATGAGATTCCTTCCAAATCCGAAAGCAGCAGTCCACACTAATAGCACAGCTTACAATGGGCAATGGCCATACACAGGCTCCTCCTAATTACCCTCTGCCAATGTTTGTGTCTCGGTACCACAAGCACTCCAATTTGGGGGAAAGGATGAGAGCTTAGGCAGTTCAGATAGATTTCTTTTTCAAAATCAATTAAATGCAACATTTTAGAAAGGCAGAGTTCTGGATTTTGCACATTTTCATAACTTCTCCCCTGCAAGGCAGCTCCTATATGCCCTGACATCAATCAGAATTGATTCCTAATTTCAGTGCTGCCATTAAGGAGGTGACTCACTTTAGGCAAGTTGCTATGCTTCTTTAGAAGTCACTATTCTTCCCTGGGAGAGAAGGTTAATGATAATAACAATCTTCCTTCTGAGAAATGAGGTAACGTAGAAAATCACAATGCATGTTTGTTATTATTGTTATTGTAAAATTTTGTTCTTACAAAAAATAGCCAAATATATTTCATTTTCAACAGTTATCAGAGAATTTCTTTAGCTGGCTCCATGGAATGGAGCACAGGTCTCCTGATCAAAATACCCTGTCCCATAATAAGATGAAGTTACAGGGTAAAACACTACAGAATAATTCATCAGGAATCCATGAAAAATCCCACACACTTTCAGGACCTAAGAAGGCTAGATACTAAAAGCTAGAAAGCCTACATTTTGACATGTAGTCACATAAAAAAGAAAGGAAAGTTTCTGAGATAAAAAAAAAACAAAGAACCTATCATCATGTGAACATTGGAATTCAAAAAGAGAAACATCTTGGTAACTTCTACACACAACATGAATGTCACACAGACTGTTTCCCATTTTGCATGCCTGACTAATTGTACTCCAGTGACTGAAGCCACCATGTCACTGAAATAAATGAGGTTCCTACCAGAAAGACATTTTTTAACTGTCTCTGTTCTTTATCTACAGTGATCAAGAATTGATCCACAGGAAAACTTGAGTGTCTTCTAGAGAGTATAGGTTAAGATAATTCATTGACGTCTTCAAGTTTCTTGTAGCCAAGTTGGTGGCATGGAAAGGAAAGACTTTGGGTGCTGATACAGGGCTCACTGACATTCACACTTCAGATTCACCACACATGCTGGTTAAGCATGGGTGAGGCCTCACCAATACAGGGGCTGGCTTTGGGCAAGGGGATGCCTCACTTGCCTCATTAGTAAAATGGGGTCAATAGTCACCAGTTTAGAATCTGTTAGAGAATTAGGTGTGCCCTGTGTGCTGAGTGATTGGAACATGATAGGTTCATAATCCAAGTGTGCTGTGAAGAGTGAGCAAAGTAATTATAAAATTAACTGTCACCTTGCCATGTCTATGTTCTCCCTTTTGTCCTTGGTTCTAATAACATCACTAGACAGTATCCTGCTGGCATGCAAAGACCTTTTGCCTGAATGCAGCATACACAGAATTTTATCTCTCTGTGCCGTATCTGGAGACTGGAGACGGTAATTCATACTAGTTTCTGGCTTCACATGGAGTTAACACCTGTTTGTTCAATGTTACAACTGATGTGTAAGGATCTGAAAGCACCCAAAATGGCCTCACAGACTGTGCAATTCCAACATGCCCTCAAGGTCTCGGTGGACAGGGTGAGGAGGGTTTAAACCATCTGCATGTGTGTGTGAGGCACCATTTGGAGATATCATGATAAGGCATAGCCTTCGGGGTGAAATTAAAAAGAATGAGTCTGTCCCTTGGGAAGTAAAAGAATGAAATCTGGAAAAATAAAGGTGCTCGTTTTGCTGGATTTACTTCCAAATTTGGTAGGGCTTGGTAAAGAAGCACAGGTACCAAACTCCAGCAATCCATGCCATCCACCATGCCCTGTGTAAGGATATTGAGTTTCAAAGACTTTTTGAGGAAATACATCACTGTTTCTGATAATTCAGCTATCAAGTCTTCTATCTGGAATTTAAAGTGTTAATCTCTCTTTACTTAAAAATAAGAAAAAGGGCTCTAGACTGAAGTAACTGTTTCCTACAAAGTCCTTACTATCCTTAGAAGCTGTCATTGGCTTTCCAATGGGAATGTGTAAATTCTCTCCTAAGATCTCCTCTCTCCTTAGGAGAATATCCAGTGCTCAATGTGTTTTGTTTTTATGCCTGCCAAATGTCCCCCTCTCCCCGTTTACCTCTTTCCATCAGTTCTCTGGCTCTGACTTTGTCTAATTCATCAGCTTTATCAAAGATAAACTTCAAGATGTGTCATGTGAAGAATCAAGAAAGTTTCAAACAAAAAAAACCCAAAAGCCCATGTATCCACTAGCAGAATTCCAATAAAGACATCTTCTTGGCAGGGGAAGACATTCTCTCAAGGAACATACAAATTATCCGCTTTTTTTTTTTTTTTTTTTTTTAATGGCCTTGCTGATTTCAATGGAAAACTCTCAGTGAGAGCCGCCAGCACAGGGCTGGTGTGGTCCCTTCTTCAAAGACACCTGCTCTGTCTTTCCCTTTTGATCTCAAACTAATTCAACATGGAGAGTTATTCTCTGTCTACCTACTCACAATGCAAAACAAATACATATTTACTGTAAGGCACCCACAGTTGAGTAGAGGTGTGAAAACTACAGTGAGGCCTCAGTTCATGAACTTATTTCTTGCTATGATTCTGGTCACAAACCAAATGAAATGAAAACTGAGTCAAATTTCCCCATAAGGTCAACATGAGACCTAACCACTGAATTTGATTTGGTTCTCATCCAATTCAGTTTTCAACCAGACTCATGCAAAGACTTAAGTTCATGAACCGAGGTATCACTGTATCCTATCCTATTTACTTTTGTCTTTTTCATAATAGTAACCTTAGAACCCAACATGCCATAGATACTTTTGAACTCTCTTTTGAATGGATGAAAAATTGTTTTTATTTGGTTTTTTTTGTACCGGGGACCGAACCTAGGATCTTGCACTTTCCAGGCAGGCACTTATGCCATTGAGCTATTTTCCCAGCAAGTTATCGGTTCCATTCTGAAGCTTTCCTCTTAACAGGATAAAGGTTGTTGCTGCTTTTTTTTAAAAAAATCAGACTATAGGTCTCATCAATCAGACTGATGGAGCAGCCATGTGTCTTCTAGTAGTCTGGCCACTGAGCCCACAATCTCTCAGACATTAATTGAAAATGTGAACTAGGCATAAACAGCAAATCATTTGGAAAGTTGGAGCAACTGACTCCAATTTTGAAAACACGACTCCCTTAGAACTGAAATACATTTTTAAACATAAAGCCTATCCACGTGAAATGGCTAGCAGGGCTCAATCCAAAAGTTTAGGATAGAAGACAAGTACACGGTTAAGAAGTTACTTTTTCTCCTATTTCCATCACTGGTATGTAAACACTGGGACGCATTTAGTGGTTCCTTTTTCAATCATCATAAAGCTTATCTACTGTTTGGGAAAACAATCAGTAGTTGGTAATGCAACTGAAACAGATATTGTTTTAAATAAAACCTTTATCTACTCCAGACAAATACGATAGGTGTGTATTTCTCTCCTCCCCCCTCCATTTTTGGTAAGTGTCATGTACCATTCTCCAAGCAATTAAGGAAAAATCACAACTCATAGGAGACTATAATTTATACTCAATAGCATGGTAATTACAATTGTGTCTAGCAGACAAATGGGACTTCATTAACGAGAACAAACAAGTAAGAACCATCCAGGACCTCAGCTCACATGACTCCCAAGTGTTTCACATCAGTGGAAAGAGGCCCCTCTGATCACACAGATTCATACACAATTCCTCTCAGAACTGTGCTTGAACCAGTTTTCAGAGACCACATCTGCACAGCAGCTTGTGGGCCGTGTTAGGGCATAGCTGAGGGAGACCCCAAATCTCAAAAACTTTATCACTTTTCTGGAACTTTTCACTTCTTCTGGGCTTTAAAATGTCTGTTTCTGGAGTCCCACACAATTAGACATGCACACTTTTACATCAGGATAAGTGTAGGAGACACAGTTGTGTGTTCCATGTTGAGTATACATCAGCCCAGTTCATTGACACAGAGACAAGGCACTAAAGGTTGCTCCCAGTTGGTCATATTCAGTGACTACTGATGGTGGTCCACCAGTCACATTGGCAAGGTCTTGTTGAGCAAATCCATCCCATTAATTTTAGAAATGACATCTTAGGATGTATTTTATATGTATGAAAAATATTATCCACATAGGATAGGAAAGAGAACTGATCTAGGAATGATAACACTGGATAGCGGCTTCTGGGAGCAAGCTGTGTCACTTTCTGGTACATTTCATGACAAGTCATGCCTACATCACAACATGCCTTTACCACAAGATCAAAGGACTCAAAGCAAAAAACCAACAGCAGAGGTGCAACCACTGTGGACCTTTGCAGATGCAAAGTGTTGCAGTAACTTCTCGCAGTTGGATCATATCAATAATACCAAACTGACAGGAAGCCACCTCTATTCATACACATCTACTATAAAATTCACAGAGGATTGGATGTGGAAAAGAGTTATGGACAAACACACACACACACACACACACACACACACACACACACACACACACGAAACACAATTACAAACACGTGACAGTGATCACAATCACTCAAAAAGATGACCAAGTAGGCATCTCAGTAATATATTTTCAACGGTACTGTTTCAGAGAATACATTACTAAAAAACTATGCTGGAAATTTTAACTCAAAGGTTTTTATTCTTAAGAAATGTCATTGATGATGAGTTAGTCATGCTTCATGCAACATAAGACAGCAGCAAAACAGAGTGAAGTCACATGGAAGAAGTTGAGATACTTCGTATTAAGAAATATGACCAAACACACTCGGGGGGAGAAACCATGAGTTCATCCCAATAAAAAGTATTCATTCAGGAAATCAAATAAGCAGTGTTCTAAGTCTGACCACTGCCCAAAACATTAAATATTCAAAATGAGGTGATCAAAAGAAATATAAGGAAAAACAGAACTACAAAGGCTTGGTCTCTGTTTTGTGGATAAACGACAGAAACTCTGCACTACAAGGTGGAAACGACACAGAGAGGAGGAGGTCACTGGGAATGTGGATGTGGGATGGAAACAAAATGGCGCTCGCATCTGGCGGACACCAAGACACAGCAGGACAATACATAAACAGACACGAAGGGCGAGAGAGAAGTGTCCTCCTCTTCAGTTTTAATAGGATTTGTTCCCATCATTGGTGCCAAGATTAAAAACAGGATATATATGCCTTTCCTTTTTTTAGGTTTCCTGCAAAGAAGTTAGTGCATCATCCAGAAGAACCAACAAATCAAACAGGACAGCAATAGGCTAGTTTCAGTTTTATGTAGTCTCATTGGAGAGGGGATATATATATATATATATATATATATATATATATACATATAGTTATTTTATATATTTATATATATATATATATATATATATATTAGACAAGGGAATGAGATTATATATACAAATATATAATCTCTCTCTTCTTGAATTCTTGGCAAATGGTTAGTCCTGTGGTTAGGAGTGAAGACAGAGGGTGGACTTGGAAAGGAAGTTAACGAAGAGTGCATACCGCTTTCGGCTTCTGCAAAACGACAAGAAAACAATTTAAATTCAAACAATTTGATAATAGATTGACTGACACCAGAAGGAAAGAAGGGATAAAACCTTTGTTTCAAACCATTTAAAGGATGCATGTGAAAACAAGGTTTTTCTGCAAAGCATGAAAACGTTATCAGGAGGTGAAACCAACAACAAAGGAAGTAGTTAAACATAGGTTGAAGGCAAGAGGGGGTGGGGAGAAGCCAGCGCCTCTGAAAGTTAATACCTGGTCAGCAAGAAAATGTGAGGGGGGGAAAGTGTGAGGGGAAGAGCAATGGGAACTTGACAATGTAGAAAAAGTTAAAATTGTTTTCTCAGAAAAGATCCAAAAGCTATTTTTGATGCATATTATGTCTCATAAATCCTGTGTTTCCTCAGGGCATGATCCACATTCCCTTAAATGCACCTTTTTCCTCAAGAACCAATGTGCTTCCACACTGAGACCAAGCCACATCTGAGGATTAAAGCTGGCAACTGCACACAGAAAGCCAAAAGAAAGCCGCACAAATTCTCCCCTCCCTTTTCTAAAAAAGAATAATCTGAAAACTGTATCTACACCTGTGGCTTTGACTGAAAATATCTCAGATTTGTGAATCAATGAAAAACTCCATCAAAGAAAAGATGTTGTCTTCAGGGAGGGTCCTGAGTTCATTTTCTCAGAAAGAGAACAGTGGACCCATGCTGAACCATTAACTGCCTTCCCCTCTCTTTCCCTGTGACCAAAGGATGGCAAATGGGAGACCATTGGTCAAGGTTCTCTGTGCGGTACTTGCCATAAAATTATTCCACAATGGTCCACCTATTATTTGGCATTAGCATCTCCTACATCATGAAACAAACTCTTTTTAGAGATGCACAAAAGTGATAAAGAATACAGGTTACACAAAGATTTACTGATTTGGCAGCATGAAGAATATCATTTGCAAAAACCTAGGTTACAGAATCCCCCACCCAGACATAGGTGAAGGATGCAAAAAAAAAAAAAAAAAAAAAAGAAAAAAAATATATGCATGTATATAAACAATCAAATTCTAAAAAAGCATCACCTTATCTGTGGAATGGTAAAAATAGCCAGGACTCTCTCAGCTTTTTGCAAATAATATTCTTCACTTTGTCAACATGGAGAAGAAAAATGTATATTTATATACATATTTGTTAACTGCTGCGGCCATGTTGGACATGTGGCCACCAAATCTACCACTGCATTTTCCTTTTGGTTGATTTGGATTTTCAAAGTAGCTTAGCATTTGATCAGATTGACTTTGTGTACAATCTGATCCAATGGGCAAGGTAAGAGAAAACATTGGATCGATTTGCTGACAATCCAGTGTTTTGGGTTGGTTGGTTGGTTGGTTGGTTGGTTGGTTGGTTGGTTTTGTTGTCATAGACACAGACTACACATTTGGAAGTCAGTCTTTATTGGGTTATTCACACTGATAATGAAAACTCTTTAAATCACAATAACAGGAGACTTTCAGCCTTGCACTGCACTCTGTTCAGCTATGAAAATATGTGTCAGGGCTTATCTGAACTCTAGGCTTGTTGATCTGCAGGAACAAATGCTATTCTAGGGGAAGAATAGACTCTGTGTATCATTTCCAAGAACAAAAGCTGGAGCATCTTCCCAAGTTATCGATTAATAACTGGGGAGCTAAGACTCACCTCCATTTTATCTGTAATACACACTGTTCTCCATCCAAAGAAAATTCCTTGTTAACATGACTCTGCTCTATTTCAGGAGTGAACCTTTATATTGACTGGGCTGTTATCTATTTCAAGCAGACTCCATCCCTCATCAGTTTGATTTGCACATAATTAAGTGCAAAATAAATAAATAAATAAATAAATAAATAAAAGAGAGCTCCTGCCTGTGAGCTCGGCTCTCCTGGCTAATTTACATGAATCTGAGATGCAGCCACCTGGATTTCGGCAGCACCGGGAGAAGCACATATGGTGCATGATAGGCTGCTTGTAATTTGGCAATCAAGAGAGTTGGTGTCTCCACTATGGCTCTACATCAGGCCTGCCGTAAAGGAGGTCAGAGTTCACCTGCTTTTTGTTCACAGTAGTAAATAGGAGTTAAAAGACATGTGTCCTAAGTTCAACACTCAGAGGGGGAAAAAGCTCAGGTTGACATGATTGGCTGGAGATACTTGAGAGGCTGATTCCTCTCCTCCAGGAAACTCTGAATGCCCAGTGGGACTTGAGATGCCAGGCTGGTCTGGGATAGAGGCTGGTTGAGCTTGCCTTAATATGTACCTTAGGATCTGAGAGATGCTGCATCCGGTTCCAAGCAATTGAATCATGTGCAAAACAGGGTACATAGACTGTATATTTCCACAATGCACTTCCACATCATAAATGTCAACAGGCCGCTGAGCCACAGCAAACTTACTTACCGGCTTTCTCGGTTGGCGGACTTGTACTCAATGGCTATCATTAGGAGCTTGAGCTTCACAAAACACAGCCTGCAAATGAGATGGAGAAGTCTCCCAGTCAGTGCTTCTGGTTGAGCAGTCACATAAGGAACACTGTTACGACCTTTCAGTCTCCTAACACTCATTATCCAAGGGAATCTTCACTAGACCAACACAGTGCCAAGGGGTTCTGGGAGGGGGGCACCTCCCAGTCTTCCCCATTAAATCTGCTTTCTCACAAGTGATATGGTGCTGGATGTTCAGAGTGTAAATTGCACTCAAGCCTGGATGTCTAGACACAGACTCCCAACCAGGGATTTGTGCCGAGGGATTTATACCGGGCCGGATTCATTAGTTACGCAGTCAGGTAGTAAAATGTTAACTACAGGGGGAGGGGGAGATTTGGAGCAGCAGGATTTGTTATTTGGATTCTATTTCAGTCTTTTGTACAAATGACTCATACTGTTGTTCTGAGCAGACCCTTGTGTACTTGCAATGGTGGTAATAATACTTAGCCTCTGCGTAAGCACTCAGCATATGACTATGGCTTTGTCACTCCTGGCTCCATCCAAGCTGTCTAGCTTCATCTGCTCTGTGCTCTCCACTGCAGGCCAGATTGTTTGGAAACTGGCTTGCTCTGGCCTCCTTACCTTCATTATTGCCCAGCCCCTAGCCACCCATGCCTTCTCCTGTCCTCCTGACCATCACCTTGGCCGTCACACCCTACAAGCAGTCTGCTCTGATTCCTGCTACCTCTGAGTTTCTTATTCTCACAATTCCAGGACTGGCTGGGAGACGCAACATTTAGCCCTTAGCCATCCTCACCTTGGCTAGGGTCACTTCCTATTGCATCTTGTTTCCTGGGTCTGCACTTTCCCCTCTTCAACCAAAATAACTTCTTTAAGAGTCTTGGACTTGTTCAGATTCCCAGAGTACATAATGAATGGAGTGATCCATAAAGACAAGCTCAATTAACCAAAAATTTCCACTTACTGGGTTTTGATTCCAAGAAAACAGTAAGTACAATAAAATACATATGCATAAAGATGTTCAAGGTAGTGTTATATATAAAGAGTAGAAAAATCTAAAGTAACCTAAGTAGAGAGTACTGTGGTAATAAAAAAATGATAATATGGTATTAGGCTGCATTCAAAATGACTTTTTTCAGAATATTTCAAGATATGAATAACAAATACCATATAACAAGATACCAACATGTAAAAAACATGATACAGTTCAATGAAAATTTAATATTTATATACTGGTAGAAATCTTTATAAACTGGTAGAAATATTTATGTACTGGTAGAAATAAAAGCTCACCTAAAACATGAATTCATATACATCATATAGTGTAAGTTCCTACAATGGACATACTTATTTATATCTTAAAGACTGGATAACGAAAAATTGCTTAATTGACAGACTGAAAAATGCACTTGTAGTTATTCAGTTCCAGCACTATAAGGGGAATAAGATAGTGTTTCAAAGGACAATATCTCTTTTGGTGCCCCCCCTTATTCCTCAAGATATCCCAGAGAGAGAGAGAAAGAGAGAGAGAGAGAGAGAGAGAGAGAGAGAGAGAGAGAGCTTAGTTATTAAGACCTCTCTTGAGAGGTCTATAGTACAGATAGTAAAACTAAGGCTCAGAAAACCCAAATAATTTGCCCAGTGGTTAGATATTAGGTCTGCAGCCAATGCCTGGCAGGATATACAACATCTTCATCTCCAATAAAGCCTGTTCAGCACTGGCAGAATAGGCAATCTGCAAATATACAACTCAGTGAGTGATACATTTTCCAATGACGAATGTTATGTAGAAAATAAAAGAACTGGAGAAGATAAAGAGTAACAGGAAAAGGAGTGTGTCACCTACGACAGTTCAGAAGGACCAGCCCAAGGATGCAGAGTGCACAGGAGCCTGACAGACAGGCAATGAGAAGACAGGGAATGGGTTTAGGGTAGAGGTGGTAAACCTATGGCATGTGTGCTTGCAGTGGGCTGTTTGTATCATTGAAAGCTCTAAAAGTTTTGCCATCACTGATCTAGGGAGTAGAAACGGTAAATGCAAAGGCTCTGAGGCAGGGAAGAGCTCCAGGTATTTGAGCACGAGCATTAAAACCAGGAAGGGTGAAGTTGAGAGAGCAAAGCTGAGAGTGACACTGGGTAGGTACAAGAGTAATGAAGGAGGCAAGATCATGAGGACTTTGCTTGCCACAGCAAAGAGTCTGCATCTTATTCCAAGTGAATGGGAGCCCTTTCGGTGGTTTTAAATGGAGAAGACACAGAGAGGCTGTAATTGGAGATGCAGTGTTGGCAGGGAAGGTACTGGGGAAGGCCTGGTGCTTTCCAGAGGAAAATAAGACCAATTGCTCATTCCTATGTGTGAGGTCCTGGTTCCCAAGCACTGCCTTTAACAGACGGTCAGATTTCAAAGGAGCACATGCATGCAGGCATGTCTCTGCTTTCCTAGTGATTTTCAGGTTTTCTAATTTCTGCCAGCGGATTCTAATGACCTGGACTTTGAACTGATAAGGCAGCTTGTTGAAATACCGATGCATGTATCCAGCCACTGCAGGGAAAATGCCCTTCTTAATTTATGTCTCACAGAATTCTAATAATATGCACCCTTTATGAGGCTGTTACTTCTGGAACTTAAATTGTTTGAAATGTCAGCTTATGCCATGCTTTTTGAATCAAATTACTAGATCAAGTAGCCACTACCTTATGTAAATAGTAGCTAAGTGCCCAAAAAGTCAAGGAGAAAGCTATCTTAACTTAGCATGGATCATGTAAAGGTCAATTTGTCAATATCCTATGAGTAACAACCATTCCATGGGACACTGATAGTTCATGAGATCAAAGATCTTAACTGCTTTCTTAATCCTACTCATATGAGGCAGAAAAGTAGTTCACAGTAATAGTGAATTATTTCTTTTTTGGTACTGGGGATTGAACTCACAACCTCATACTTACCAGGCAAACAGTTGAGCCACTGAGCTACATCCCCAGCCCATATAATGAGGAATTATTTTACCAAGTTACTATAATGGCATTTACCTATTGGATACAAAAAGAAAGGTACCTCCTAATGCATAAAAAGTCAATAAAATCCATGCAGTCTTGTATATATTTCTTGACTTTATAAAGGAAAAAAGCAGCAAGCTAATTTCTTCATCTTCTACCAAGTTTTAAATCCATAATGTGCTAACTCTAAAATCCATACCTAAGAGGATTCTATACTGGCTTTTAAAAGCATTTTTTAAAGAAGCTCTTTGATTCAAAACAAGCTGTTGCTTGCTGGCCTAAGGAGAGACAGAAGAGGAGGATTGTGATGTAAGCGTGAATACATGCAAACAGGACTACACTACAGATTTCCAGACGCTGGTCCTTCCAAATTGGCTGGTCCTGCCCTTCTTATATGTAAGACAAGCTGAAGTCCAAAGAAGGCAAAGCAATTAGTCAAGCAAATGTGTGTTACATACAAAAGCCAGAAGAGGACAACAAGTCCCAATGCAGTACATCCTAAACGTATGTCTCCTGGGAACAGAAAATGAAATGGGGGTCCCAATCTCACATGAAAACGTGTTTTGTTTTATTGGCACAGTTGCCTTTTATAATTAGAAATAAATACCAACTGTCAGTTTCATATAAAAACTGGCTCTTTGTTTACCTTGAAAAATTAGATCCTGCCACACTGGAAACACAGCCCATGTGGCAAAAGAGACTGGATTTATGAAGCGCTCACCCAGAGGAAGCAAGATTCTCCAAGGTGTACAGTCCAAGCCACGAGCCATATTGTCACTGACTTCTCTTCACCTTTTGTTACTAATTGCCTGCAACTTACAGGCCTCTAAGTTTTGCATCTCTGCTCCAATAGGCATCTTTTGTAACTGGCAACATACATTGAATGATAAACCAGGATTTAGACTAGAAACAGGACTATGGCTCCCTTGTGAGTGTTCACACTTTTTGTGTTGGATCTTCCGTGAGGTAGTAGCAGAGATGTAGCCTCTAGTAGGGCATCCAGCAGGGAAGAACAGATTAAGGTTGGTTCAATACAAGTTTGCTTTTCTCTCTTCCCTCTGGTCTGAGGTTCTCTAGAATAGGATGCAGGCTTTGCCTCCATCCCTGGCCTTTGGTAAAGTGAAGAAAGCATGCTGCCAAAGAAGCCTAAATTAAAAGATGCATGAATAAAAGGGCATCATTAGCCATCTGATCTTCATAATTACTTTTCTGGCTTTACTCAGCCTCTGGTGTTTCAAAGGATATAGCACCAATATGGGATCAGGAAGCAGGATTAGTATAACGTAAAGTGCGAGGAAAAGGCAAGAAGCCCTTCACAATATGATAAATAGGATAAAACCAGCCATACGTTAACAAGAATTTAATTCTTGGCTCCTAAAATAAAATGTCCCAATATGTCCAATGCAGGAAGTTGTCACTTGTTGCAAAAATAATTACAGAGAAATAGAAATGACTTATTTTTTTTCAAGAAAAAAAATGCCACTTGTCACAAAAAGGTCTTAAACCAGCAATCTGCAATGAAACTGTTGTAATAACAAGTTAGATTGCTTTCCGGATAATTATTAAGTAGAGGTCTACTGAATTTGACAATGACATTATACAAAGCCCCCCTCCCTTTTTTACTGCCAGCATCATCTGTTAACTATAGTAGTTTCAACCCAGATGTTCCTGAACAAAGGCTCTTAAGAATTAGAGTCCAACTGTTTGTACCTACCCAGAGGGAAATAAATTGTTCTTGCCATTAAGTCAGCCCCCTTGACAGGAAGGATTGCTTGCTGGTGTGAATTTAAACACGAAACCTGCCACAGAGTTTGCACCTCCTAATGTGCCCAGGAAGAGTGTAGAGAGATGGCATTTGGAGTGCTGAAGAGGACTCACCTCCTGCGGCAGGTGGGTGAGGACAGAAGTAGCAGCTCCTATCATGCCCCCAAGCCCCAGCCTCTCCCCAAACACCAGCACCTCACCAGCTACCCAGGTAACATCAGGCCCATACATGTGATCAGAAGAGATTTGCCGTGAAGTCTG